ATAAAGGCTTGTACATTAACGTAATTATTTATCTACAGAAATACTGCAGGTTGAATTACATTTATTTCTATAAAATTTCATTGAAAAGGTAATTTTTTTAAATTTTTCATTATACAAACTTATTTCGTTGAAAAAATACGTCATTTATCTAAAATTTTTTTTTATATGGTTATCCATTTTCATTACCTATAAGATTTCAGATACATTACGTGCTTACAATATACTTGGTATTATTTCACACAAATAAATTTATTCTTACGCAAAGTAAGCCTACTTCATATACTAAATACGGCATTTAAATATCTTGAATGTAAATTTTAGCGGCAGTGGCGTAACAAAAAGAAACGCTGTCATATTTTATCGTAGATGAAAAAAACGGGTTTCCACGACAAGCGTGTGCCGCTTCGTAAAAGAAACGGATGCTCGTATCTTCCGTTTTAGACTCCGTGCAGAAAAGACGCGACGCCAAACGGACACGCTCGTTTTATTCGCTCGTATACGCAAGCAGGTATTTGTTCGCAGTCGTGCCATGAGGTGTCGGTCGATCGGATCCTCCGCTTACTCCGCGCGGTTCAAAAATTCACCTAACGCGGAACACGGAAGTTCCGGCAGCGCTTGTCGTTCCTCTTGTATTTTTTTTTCGCAAAATCGAGTTTTCCAGTCATTCTCGCATCAGTCAACGTCGGCCGCCGTTTTTGCAAATCGCAGCGTCGCGATATCGGATAGGTAATTTCCGAAATCTCAGCCACCCGTCGGATGATCTATTGCCGGCGCATCGGCCATTCGATACTGCTAACGCATTAGACCGTTCTATGCATTCGACATCACTGAGATCAATAGACACTTCTGACACGTTACATCGCGATATGTAACAAACGGAGGCGAATCAGGAGTGTACGTTACCATGGTCAACACTGTATTGCACGTATTATATCCATGTGTACGCATAATTGACATACCACGTCGAGAGCGAGCTATTAACGTCGATATGATTGCCATGATCGAAACTGTTCGCTTCATAAATGTCCAATAACAAACATGACAAAATATGTATTTTCCCCAACTGTATCTAGAACAAAGTTCTTGGAAGTATATTTTAATTGATTGAAAATGTCTCTGCAATTATTAACATTATTTAATTATACTTTCGTGAAAATAAATATTTTTTATTTTCTTTTGAAGGATTTTATAATTCTTTGGAATAATTAGCAAAATTTTGAATTTATTTTCTCATCTTCCGTTTTATTTATATATCTATATACATTTAATTATTATATTATATATACATCAATTTTAAGTTACGGCGTCTAAGAGATATAAAAGAGCAATTGAAGATTAATATAAAATATACGCTAGACTCATCTTTGTGCAAATCTACAATTGAAGAAAAGCACGATTTATCTTCTAAGAAGATAGTAGTCGCATAGAAAGTCGACTTCTTCAAGAAATCTCTTATTCTCTTGCGCGATTCGCACCTTAAACTCCGGGCGACTTAGCTTTTCCTCCGCCACTGCAGCCACCCTCCTCCTCGATGGTGAACGTCGCGACGCGGAGGAGGGTGATTTTGGTTTGCCCCTCGCTCGTAGCGACGCTAGCGCCGCGTCGGAGGCTCCAGTCCAACGTCAGCATCACTCGTGGTGGTTTCGCGCGCGCATTCACCGCTAAAGTGAAATTACTTTTCAAGGAGAAGAAAATCGAGATTCCGTCCTTTTCCGGCGATACCGGCCGATTCCGTCGCTGTCGCCGCGTCACATCGTTCGGCTGGTGCGATTAAAAATTTCGAACGGCGATTGTCGAGACACGTCGATCGAAAAGTCGCCGAAGAAAATCACAAGGGGTGCGTTTTAATGAGAGAAAAATGGAATTAAATATACGAAAATGAATCGATAGCGATCGATAGGTGCGAGTGAGTGGCCGTAATCGCGGATCTATCGATCGTTGACAGATCCTAAGTTCTCAAATAAACTGCGTGTGCGATTAGGAAAGTAGATTTGTTCAGCTTTGGATTTCACCCCTCGATCTGACAGCAACACGTTTGTTTACTGCTTATCGGGCAACTTCTTTTCTTTTCGCGCGCTTCGCGAGTTTCGTCGATCTGAGTGCTTTCGGGAACGGTGAAATGTATTTGCGGGAATGCGAGGATTTTTGGCGAAATCGCAGAGTGATCGAGGAATCCCGGTCGACATAGAGAAAACGCTTGAATTCCCAAAGACTAAGAGTGCATCGCGGCGTGGCGAAAAAGAAGAAACGTTACGTGCTTCGTGGAGAATTTGTAGGGAATTTTAGAGGAAGAATCTATTTTACGGAATAACTGTCTTAGAATGTGGTGCTCGAGGTGCTCGAGTAAAATTTGAAATAAATTCGATCTCGGGATTCTGCGGCATCGGGATGGTTGTTGAAGTGAGAGTGCAATGAAACGCATTCAGTGAAATCCGGATTAAAATGCTGTCACCTGTGCAAATTTCTCTTGTACGAAATTATTACGCGAGTACGAGTGAAACATTCCAGCGTGTTTCCGATATTTAAAAAGGACCGATCGAAATACGAGAGAAAATATATCCGTGAAATATCCGGGGTACGATAGAGTGGAAGGTTTCTCGGGTTTCGAATGTGATAAACTTTATGCGATATTTGGGGAACGGATACGCTTTGGATGCCTCTGAGATTTTTGAAGGTGCTTGAATTCGAATCGAGTACGTTCAATATAACGTTCAAGAGAGATATTTCTGCGGTGATGCGTAAATGTGTCAGCAAAAATCCGCATTAAAGCTTCATGTTCTCTCTAATACCGATAAGCTTCACACGAGTACGAATCTTCCGGTTTTAAGTGATATACTTGAATGCGAAAGCTCGCTTGCGAATTTATCTCAAAAAGTGGCGCGAACTCTCCGTTTCGCGTATAAAAATATGATTTTTATTTATAGTGACATGCACGCTTGACAAAACTGTGCATTTGGACATTCAATTTTTACTGGGAAACCAACGAGAGTTATGAATAGATCATAGACCGCGGATGTTTGCTTCTGTCACTAGGTAACAATCAGAGAAAAAATTTTAACAAATTAAGAGAGCTCTAGTGACGAAATTTTGATGTGCGGTCGAATGCAAAGTATATTTTAAATTCATGTACATAACTAGAGACATATTAAAATTTGAGAATCAAATTGAGAATCAAAGAATCAATAAAGGTAATAAAGTTTGTAGGAATAATAGGCTGTGTCGGAAAGACATAATCAGACAAAATCTAAATCATATTCATATTTGAATCATCTGCAATTTTTGTTTCAATAAAGAATCTAATCAATTTTCAAAGAGCGTAAAGGATACCGCGCTCTTCGGACTACCACATTATTCCACGTGCGAATTCTTGAGGGTCCCTTGGTCGGAGCAGACATAATTCGTCCCAAGCGAAGTTGTAGAAAGGTGATCGAGCAGAATAAGGTCGTCTGACGTCACTGCCGAAATGCCGGTAATGCGTGAGAGAAAAACAATTTTCCGCGGATATTGCGTGATCGTAAATATTTCTCGTGAGTGACAACAGAAAATTCGTGGAAAACGTCGTAACATGCGAAAATCTTCGCAATAACAGTTTGCGGCTCGCAAGTAAGTCCTTGGAGTGTTTTAAGTGTTCAAAGAACCGTGAAAATAACAGTGACATTTGTCTGAATGTATGGTGAGTCTTGAAACAGAAGCGCACGTGAACTGTAAAAATATAGTCGCAATAATAGTAACGTCGTGCTCCCTTACGTGACCAGACGGAGCCGTGTTCGCGAAAACGATTACGCGAAGTGCTGGTGAAAAGTACTCATGAGACTAAAGCTCCGACTGACCGTTTGATGTACCCTCCGTCGTGCAATTGCAGTTTTCGGGCGGTTAAAGTGTTGTGCGAAACGCAAAGATAACAGCTACGGTTGACATTAGAGCGGCTTTCTCGTCGAAATGTCTTTTGCAGGCACGGACTTTTAGTATAAAGTACAATCGCGATTATCCGTTCAACTTTTTATCGCACGTTTTATCAACGTAATTAGTCGCTCTTTGAGAACGGAATATATCGAGATAAAATTACGTCACGCGTTCTATCTAAATTGTTATTACGAGTACGTATATGAGGAACGTCACGGAGTTATGTAATTAGACGAATAAGAATATCGTGAATGTAGTAAAAGTAAAACGGGGATTACATTGTGCAATTAGTGTTAAAATATGATAAGATAAAAAGAAAAGTTATAAAATATCGTTCACACAAATTACGGAATTACGCTCTGCGTGTTTCGGGATTTTATGAAATAAAATTGCAATTGAGAGAATAAGGAAAGAAAAGGAATATATTGAAATTAAAACTCACTTTTTCTTCGATCGATAGTCGTCAAGATAAAATCATAATATACGATATGCGCGATCGGCTATAACAATATTAACATTGTCAACGAATGAAACTTCTCTTCTCGCCATCGTCGATTACACGCTTTTCGGCGTACGCGAAAAGCTGCAGCCGCGGACGGGAAAGTGTTGATGGTGTGTTCTATTAATTTTCCATCACGACGTAAAGTTTTCCGCGAGTTCAGGCTGAAATTGGAGCAACAGCTGCATGTTGTGAGAAAAGATCGCGCGCGACATCGCGGAGGAAAGTAAAATATGCATGTGGATAAAAGTGTCCGTCGTAAGCTCGATAAAAGCGCAGCGGAATTCCTTTAATAAATCGCTATCGTCCTCGCGCGAAACATCGTATCATGTGTCTTCAAGCGATGAACTATTAGATACTCTTGAGTGTCGAAGATTGTTGCGACTCTCAAGATCGTCGCCTCGGGAATTGATCTCTCTCGTAAGAGATCGAAGAGTGTCGAGCAAAAGCTGTGCTGAAAGTAGTTGGATACTTCATAGCGAGTGCTCCAAGGGATTGTCCCTTTTTAGTTGCATTCTCGTCCACCCGACTCCATTTCGTGCCATTGTCTTCCGATTGTTCGATTCGGTGCTCCTCCGAAAAGCGATTTCCTCGATCGTGTGCACTTCAGAGAGAAGAGGAGCGCGACTTCTTCGAAGGTAAACTTTTAAATTACCTTAAATAACGACCAACTTTATAGAAAATTGTAGGGTATAATAATGTATTCTAAACTAGCCATATAGTTAAAATTGAAGTCTTATTTCCTTAAGGGGATAACTTCTTAATTCAATATTTCATAAGTTGAGTAAATACTTTAAATTATATTATTTATTTTATATTTCTTATTAACTCTTTAAATAATATTTAGATACAGTAAGGTAATTGTCCCAGTGTCCGATCACAATTGGAAAATTAATATGCTGACAAAATAATAATATAAATAGATGTTTAATGACAAAAGGCAACTAATTCAAATTGATCTTTAAGGTAAAAAAAGCATTTGAGATTAATATTAATATAAATATATAAAGTTTTGTGTAACTATCCGGACATAGGTACTGTCCGATTCCAATCACTGGACCTGTACCTATGTCCGGACATAACCTATGTCCATTTATATAACACTTTATTTATTTAAGTTAATATTAGTCTCAAATACGCTTTTTAAAACGTAATATTATAATTTAATTGTAATCTTTAAATGCAATTAAATCATAATATCGTAATAAAAAAAGCATTTGATTAATAATAATAAATTTTGTGTAAATATCCGGACATAGGTACATGTCCGGACACTGGGACGTTTACCTTAAGTACTTATACTCTCTCAGAGAACTAAAAAAATATATTTAAATAATTATATACGGAAAACACAAAGGAATCTCATTTATGAAGATTATGGTAAAGTTGTTATAATCGAGCATTATACCGTTCTCGGATAATTTATTGAACGTACACTGTTAGAGCGTGATAATTAAAGGGCTGTCACAGTTTTCTAGGCAAGCAGTTAGTTCTCATTTATAAATGAGATTATAATGAATCGCGGACGCAAACTCAATTTCTTCGAAGTCCCTAATGGATTTGTCACAAAAGAATGTTAGCTTCGGGAATGGGAAGAGTTTGGGCTCTCTTAATCTGTCTTTACTGCTTCCTCATTATCTAGAACTTCCTGAGTGAAGGCTCATTGAAATAAACGTGAGGGCTAAATTAAACGGGCGAAAGTCTGATATCGCCGATATTTATGTCACACGTTTTTCAAACCTGTCTTTGGTCGAGATCTTTGCTTAGCTGTCGTTAGTCAGACAGAAATTCTCCAGATCACTACACACAAATAAGACAATTTTATTTATTTATTACGTGGAATGCAGTAATAATTAAATAAAAAAATATATTTATTATTAAAATGTGTTATGGCTTTCTATTTATATGAATGTCTTATAATTAAATAAGTATTCTGAAAATTAATTAAATGTCATGTTTAATTAAATATAACATTGATGAATTACATTTTATATACAACTATTTATTATTAATTATTACAATGCTTTATATTTAGCCATATATATTTTATATTAAAAACAATGATTTTATGAAATGCTATTATACGTTTATTATTGATACGTTAATTTAATGCTATATTCCGTATAGTTCATTAAATAAACGTGTAATAAAGTACTGAAATTAAGTTTTAAAAATTAGAAATTAAAACTTCCGCGAAATTTTATAAACTAGCCGCAGACTAAAGTTAAGTCCAAGTTTATAAATCTGCAATTATAACAATTGAATTTCTTGTTATTATTATAACTGCAATATTTATAAAAAGGGATTTATTAATTTGACATAATAAAATTACGTATTATTGCTAATTTATAATTTTCAGAGTTGAGAATTCATGGATTCATTCATTGCGAGAGTTAGCCGATTATCACGCTAAGCACATTTTCGAGAATTCCCCTTTCGCATATGGGAATATCAATGTGATATTTTTTTGCAGTTTTCGTGGTTTGGCAAATTACAAGTGTGTGAAATATCTAACTTTTCGCGGTTGGCATATGTGTGCACTGCTGCTGCGGGCAATTGCAGCCACATAGAAGGAAAAAAAATATCAGTCCATAATAATATATACCGCGCAAAATAATTCCTCTGTATTAAATTATAATAATTTTAATGTATCGCCGCTGGGGCATTGCACTATGGCACATCGATCTTTGAATAACCATAAATTCAGTCGTGTAATTCATCATACATCATGATAATTGATAATTATTCTGCTTGCGTCTACCTTTATTTATTGTTTAATTATTTATCAATTTATTATAGTATTTTGTATACATATATTTTTTAAATTGTAAATATTATTATTGCAAATATTATTGCAAATATTATTGTAAATATTATTGTTTTTGATCCGCAAAAATGTTTGTGGAAGGTAATCAATTTCGTAGCTTCATGTAACAAATATAATAAGGATATAAATTGTAAAAAGTTCCCTCTGTCATTTTAATCTATAGACATATAAACTAAAATATTGGAGGTTTGATTTTACGAGGTAACGGAAAGAGGATCCGAATGAACGGAAGATGAAAGCGGAGGAAGAAAACGAAGGACAGGGATTCGAATAATGGACGAATCTTGCGCAAAACTGAAATGATTGATGGAAGCTCGCGGGCGGAGACTGTGAAATGCTTCGGAAATAAAAGGAGGGGAGGAAGCAGTTAAGCTTGTGTGCACGTACTAGGTCGGTACCTGATGCTCGAATGCAGTTAATTCGAATGCTTCGATAATAGTGACCCCGCGGAGAGTCATCAACCGGCTGGCTCAGTTAATGAGTTTTCCAACCCTTTTCCGAGAACTGACATTTGCCATAGTTTGATTTTGAAAAAGCAATCTCTATTTGCGCTTCTCTCTCATTATTCTATAGACTCGAGATGAAGTTGCAAATCGCATTTAATGGAAAAAATTATATTAGGCGCATTAAGCAAGAGTAACGTAGAATTAGAAAGAGTAACAAATTGTATAAAGTATATCTGACATTTTGGTTTGCTTCGTACCTTAATATATTTTATAAAATAAATTTCTTTAACAAAAATCTATTATGGTTGATATGCAAGAGATGAATAAAATTTATTTAAAGTTGACATATTTGATAATTATTTTATCATACGTACAGGTTTTGGTTTTCTATGTTTTTAAGAAACAGAAATTATTGATGTGTGTGTGTTATATTAAAAGATCTTTTATATTGACAAGACAATTTTTTTTATTCTGAAACAGAAATTTTTCTAAATTTCCATTGTTATACATTTATAGCTGATTTATATTATATAAGAGAGGAAAAACTTATTCGTATATATGTATTTAAGATAATTTTATATCTTACAATTCTGCTTAATGGCGGAATTATCATTATTCAGATTTAACTCCGAAATTTACACAAGGTATGACCTAATGGTCTTCCACATTCATTAAATATCCAAGTTGTCACAGAAATATGTATGAACCTAAGGAGGTTATCGCGCGATGCAATTTTTCTTCATTAATTTTGTCCGGTTTGCGTATGCACGAGCAAACCAGTGCACGAACCAACGCGAGTTTATTAGATAAATATTTAAAATGTGCTTCACATTTGTTCTACGAATTTGATTGATATATTTCAATAAAAAAAAACATTTTGCCTTAGAGACACGAATAAAAGCACATTTAATTATAAATTAAACATTAATTAAAACATAAGGAATGACGTTAATAATATCTTTTAATATAGGTTAATTAGTTATAAAATTAAAAAAAAAATAATAAAATAGTGTAAAAATGTGAGAGATGGAAGATATGTCTAGATTTTTATAAACTATGGAATTAAAATATACAATGTATCTCGAGAATGATGATGAAGTTAATGAATGCACTGAGCACATTCAGTTTATTATACATTTCAATATAGTTTCATACGTTTCATATATTAATATTAGTGAAAATTTTTATTATGTCATAATGAATATAGTAAATGAATAATTTTTCAAATAATCCTTTTTGGATTGTATGCGCCTCGATCAGAAGACGTATCAAAAAAGATATCTAATTCAAAAATAATGAAAAATGCGAGCATGTTCTCTGAGAGACTTATCAGAATGACACTGATTTTTCTTCATGCCATGTAGAAGCATCGTATTTTTATATATTCGTGTAACAATCCAAAGTCCTTACGCGCACAAGGACATGGCGTAAGTCCAGTTCGTATCAGATTTTCAGAAAAGTCGCCTCTCGAAACTTTTGCGTATTCTTGAAACCGAGTTCTAAAACTTTCCCGAAAGCTACTTCGATGCCGCGGCATATTTCCTCGTTCGATTTAAGCCGAAGGATTTTACTATCCTCGCACCTTAAATTTTACGATCGGTGTTCCCATATCGCAATCGCGTCGGATAAACTTATCTGTTCTCCGAACGTTTTCTGTCCTTCCCTTCTTCTCTCTCTCTCTCTCTCTCTCTCTCTCTCTCTTCAACGATGATTTAGTGGACCAATAATATCGGTGTCGCAATAATTTTCTCCGCGTGACAAATATGTACTAAAACGTATCCGTGGCAATTTGTATCAATAACCATATTTCATTACACATATCACAGCGTTACCGGTCTTGGTGCGATCTCGATTCCACATTGGCGTTGTAACGCTACCTAATCACGCTTGCATCTCCATTTTTCGAAAGAAACGGGATTGTGCGCAAACAAGGCGTATATGGAGAAAAATAGCACTTTATAAGCAAGGAGATTCTGATGAATTTTTAACACCACGTAGGATGGACTGGCACAAGAGAAAAAGAGATAAGACGTATAGAGTTGACTAACGTAGATAAGATAAATTTAACATAAATGCAACTAACAATAAAAAAAAATTATTAATGTAGGGATTTAATAAATTTTTTGTAAATTTATATGTTATACAGATTGGTTTACATTGATTCAGGCCAATCAGTTATCAAAATTCTTGTTTTTTCAAATATTCTAATATTAGAATTTCCTATCAATTTTATTTTATAGCAATTTGGTTATTTCACATTTTCAATTAAAGCGCAGCATCGGTCGGCGCTTGAAAATCCAAGCTCCGACCAAGTTCTACTTTCCCTCGTCACTGTAAAATTACGGCATCGTCTCCGGAATATGTA